ATCTCAACTCATCATTTTCACCAATATCATCTCTGGTTTCTCTCAGCTCATCACCAGCATGCAGGTAAATTTTTATTTTTCTATTTCTTCTTCTTTTCTCTTTTTGCTTTTTATAGTTTTGTACCTATTATATTGTACCAATTTTAGAATAATATGTGAAAATTTTCCATTATTATACCATGCTACTAAAAAAGCATTGGTCCAGAGCCTAGCGTCGCCTAGCGCGGTGTAATATTAATAATGCTACTCCATGATGGTAACCATTGTCAATACTATGAATATGCCTTTTAATCAATTTTCTTTAGAGGGACCGACAAGCTACCACGGTGTGCATTTGCATGTGTGGCGTCAGTGATAAAAGGCTGCATTATAACGTATTATTGACACCTAAAATGGATTATCTTCGAAATTAGTATGTGTTTCAATACATCAATGACACAACTAAGGCAAAGTAAAACATGGTAGTTGAAAGGAGATCTTGGAGAACTTGGAGAATTTAGTATATGTATAATACTCAAAGCTAGACTCAAACTAAAGACACATATGCGCATGGAAGTTTCCTATTCCCTCTTAACCTCGAGATAAGACTATGGGTGCAAAAAATATTCATATACGCATATACATGCTTATCTGTTAGCATACGTATATGGTTGTTGAATATCTATATCCGATAAGATATGGTTACCGATACGGATATGTAGAAATATCTATATATGAAATATCCGAACATATGTAGATCCTAGAGTTGCAATTGCCTTGACCCTTAGATTATGAATTTGAGGTTAATATTGATGGTCAAGAGATCTAATCTTATTTTTTTCAGATACAACGAACACATTAATGTTCTTGCTTGAATCATATGAACCACATTTTTCAATCTTCTCTGGTTTTCTCATATCCCTTTTCTATCCGCATGTATGTCTGCATATATCATCTATTATCTGTATCTGTATTCGATTTCTCCAGGTATAGTTATGAGATTTTTAACCGAGACATGTCAATATTCGTATATCTACTTTCCTTTATAACTAAAGGAAAACCTAAAGATGAACAGTAAATTTTTTGAATATCCACGTATTTTCCTATCATTTTCCCACAACCGTCCATTTTCCTATCATTTCACCACGCCGACAATTGTTCTCGCCGCTTCCTCCATGACAACCGTCCATTGTTAAGCAACTTCCCCACGCCTTCCCCACGCATTCTCCTTCCGCTCTCCCACGATGTCTCCCTCCACTCTCCTCATATTCTCCTTCCTCCTCTCTCTACTGGACCCTTCCCTTGCTTGCAACCGAGACGTCGTCACCCTCCCCTCGTCGTCTGACTTTCAACCCTCCGCCCTTGCGTGGGACCCATCAGCCCAACACTTCCTCATCGGATCCGGTAATAGGCCTGTCATCTCCTCCGTCTCCGACGCCGGCATCGTCCAAACTCTGATCCCATCCGATTCTTCCTCCTTCTCCGTATACGCTCTCGCCGTCGACTCCTCCCGCCGCCGTCTCATCGCCGCCTTCTCATCTCCCGCCACGATATCCTCCTACGACCTCCAATCGCCCATCCCCACCGCCTCATCTTCTCCTCTTCCCTCCAATTTTCCCAACGTCTCTCAAAAACCTAACCCTAAAATCAGATCGCGTGTTGTAGCAACTTCTCCGATCCCATGCTGCGGATCGAGATCGCGCCCCATGTGGCCGAGAGCAAGTCGGTCGGCGAGGGATGCAGTCTATGAAGCACGGATACTCCCCCCAAGGCTACGAATCCGTGTCCGACACGAATCAGACACGAATTCGTGCACGACACGTGCAAGACACGTGTCGGACACGGTCAATCCGTGTCCGACACAGGTCAACGGTCAAACGGGGGGGACACGGTCAAAGGAGAAGGGAGATACGACACGGATTCGGCAAATGAAAAGAAAAAGGGGGGGGAGGGAACCCGAAACCCAAACCCAAAAAAACCCTAAAATCTGGACTTACCCGCTCCCGACGTCGCTGATCCTCTTCTCATCTCTCGCGCAGACCTCTTCTTCTGTTTTCGTCGTCTTCTCGTGTCGCCATCACGTCGGAGGTTAGATCTCGTCAAGCTCGTCGCGCCGGAGGTCAGTTCTCTCGTCTCTCTCTCGTCGTCCTCATCTCTCTCTCGATCTCCATCTCTTCGAGGGAGGATTAAACGACGATCTTCGAGGGACGATGAGCTTCAAGGGATGACAAGCTTCGAGGGAGGAGTCGGCGACGAGCTTCGAAGGGGGAGTCGGCGACGAGCTTCGAGGGGGGAGTCGGATCTGGAGCTTCGAGGGGGGAGTCAAATCTGGAGCTTCGAGGAGGGAGTCGGATTTGGAGGAGAGAGGGCGGAGTCAGAGGAGTTGGCGAAGAGATTCGAGGGAGGAGTCGGATCTAGAGGAGAGAGGGAGGAGTCGGACCTGGAGGAATCGGATCTGGAAGAGAGAGGGAGGAGTCGGATCTGGAGAAGAGAGAGGAGTCGGATCTGGAGGATCTGATAGATGAAAACCCTAGCCCTAGCGCCCATTCTTACCTATTTATATGGATAGCACTTGTAAATAAAAATTTGGGCTAGGCTTATAATATTTTGTATACTTGTAATATTTACCTTCTATTTCAACAATATACTTGTAATATTTTAAGGAATATTTATAATATTTTGGGTATAGTTCTAACTTGTGAATGTATACTTGTAATTTTTAACTCTCGTTTTGCAAGATAGGCTTGTATTTTTATATGTTCAAGATGAAAATAATGAAAATTAAAATTTGGTATTATTTTAGATTGTTAGTTGAATTTTATAAAATTTTCTATATATAATAATAATTTTAAAAAAATTCCTTGCCGTATCCCCGTATCCTATTTTTTTGGATTTTGCCGTATCCCGTATCTGTGTCCGTGTCGTATCCGTGTCCCGTATCCGTATCCGTGCATCATAGGATGCAGTAGCATCGCCGATTGGGCTTGACATCGAAAGCGGAGGAGGGAAGATATCAGGAAGGACAAAGGTTTGGTGATTAGCTTCATTTTTATTTTGTTTTTTGATGTGAGGTTCTTGAATTGTGTGTCAATTTGGGGGTTTGTTGGTAAAAATTGAATTTTTAATAGATTACCAAAATAACATATTGGTAACAGGGGTCTTTTATGACAAATATATCTAAGAATTGTAGTGTTATCATTATTGATGTATATTTTTTTCTTGAATTAAGAGTTTGAGGAATGGAACTGTCTTAAAATGTTAATTTTGATGCTGAGACATTGTGAGATTATGCCATTACTTTGATATGGTGGCATTTATGATAATTGTACAGGATGCCCCATGAATTGTTTTACCCTTGATCATTGGATATTTTATAAATTAGCATAAGTAAGTTTATATTGCCTTGGTCAGATATTTTGGAACGGCTTGAATTGATCACATTCATGTACATGTGTGGCTTTTTTGTGCATTGACAATTCATGATTTTATGTGGAAATTTTAATCGATAAAGGAATATTGGTATCAATCAAAAAGAAGATTGAAGCCTCTGTTACTGTGTGGAACATGTAATTACACCTAAAAACTACTGTTTTGCCATCTTATTCTTTAATAGTCTTATGAATCATAATGTTTAATTTTAATTTGCCAGTTAAGTACAAAGAGGATAAAGGACTTGGAGTTTCTGAAAAGAGTTACTTAGTAACTTCTCCCAGTGATCATTAGTTTCGTAATGCGTGAATAGAACAACAGGTATCTTTTTTTTCTAAATCTCATGTTAGTATTATTTACCTGCAACAAAATTACAGTCTCCTCCGCGGTAGAAAATTTCTTACTTTTTGAACTTCATGAGGTAACAATTTTCTTCTGCGGCCATACTCCTTTCAATTTCTTTTAGGCCTTTCCAATTGATAATTCTCTAAAACCTATCGTGTTTAATTAAGTTGCTATAATGTCCATAAATACTGATTATGACTCTCTTTTCTTTGTCCATCTGAGTTAAGTTGAATTAAGTTGTTATAATGTCCACAAATACCTATATGTGTTAAGTTGCTATAATGTCCATAAGTATGTTTAAGATAAATTTATTGTGGCAAAACAAAAAAAATGAGATGAGGAAAAATTGTGCACAAAAATAATCTGTAAGGATGTCGTGCTTAGCACGGGATGAATACTAGTGTATCCATGATTGGTAAACGGATACAGATATAGTCAGTGTCATATCCGAGCCATATCCGATCTGTTTGCACCCCAGATAAGACTCTTCGGTTCAAGCTTAGGCTTTGACTTTAGGCTTGCACGGGTATCAAAGTGGAGTGGTTCGTGCTTTAATTCCTAAAGCCAGAGTCAGCATTCAAAAGCAGGACCTTGGGCATTATTAAATTGCACAATGCAGTGGGAAGCGCTGCTCGGAGGAAAGTATGAACGCTCGTTGTGCACCCTTGATATTCATCTGAATTGTGGGCAAACAACAGACACTCCGTCAATACTCCACAAGGGTAAGATTAACATCAGCTACTCATTTCGTTTAAGTCTTCAAAATTGCTACAGAAACTCTAGACGTTAACCAAGTTTGGCAGCACGTCCTTGTAATATTGGTGTAGACACAGGGGATATTTAAGTTATATTTCTCAAAGACGTGAAGCTTGATGTGCTTAGTCCTTAGTGGTTAGAACCTTCTTTAGGAGTGATTCTAATAAATGGCTTAGTGGTTAGACGCTTTGTTGTCGGTGTACACATCGTAGCCTCTAGCGCCTATGCAATTGACTAATTCAACTGCCTTGTCACTTTTTCTTCTCCTCGCACGTATCAATGCACTACGATGATTGCAAAATCCATACGAAACACGAGGAGCGGACAAGCCCATCTAATTTAGAACAGCAGAAATAGAGTCGGACGAGGAAAGAGAGATTTCTAAAGTCCAGGAAATAAGGAATTTTGACCAATCCTGATAACAAAAAACGTATTGGACCCCGAACCATTTCAAATCCAAGAAATCGAGGGGGGGCTTTCTGAAAACTTACTGCCGGCGGATTCATCGGCCATGCAGAGGACGGTGATCCCGTCGGTTCTCTTGACGTGGAAGATGAATCTGTCCTGAGAGTAGGACACGTGGCTGTCTTCGGTGCCTGGGATCTTCTCCAGGATTTGGCGGGCGACGGCGCTGGCGTTGGACTGACCGCTGCTGAACTCCGCCAGCACCACGGATCCCCTCGCCACCATCGCATACTGTATCGCCATCAACACAGCCTCTCTCTCTCTCTCTCTCTCTCTCTCTCTCTCTCTCTCTCTTCTCTCACTCTCTCCCTCGATTCAATAATTGGGGATGATTACCGATTTCCGAGAGAGGAAGCGGAGGTTTTTATTTCGATTGCGAGCTGACAATTACATGCGATTGGGGGAGAGAAGACAGGGTGGCGATACGTTGTTCTCGCAGAACATGATAACTTCAGATTTTGTGTTGGATGACGTCACTGGGTGATTTATCTGGTTTAGAGGAGACTACGTAACAGTAATGTTGTACCTGAGGAGTAGTGAAATGGAGGGCTTTATGCTTTATGGAGTGGGGCCCACAAGAACTGAGAGGTGTCCTGTTGTGAATGGGGGGTTTTGACAGGGACAGATGGTTGTGTGGGCCAATGAGGTGAGTGCGTGGAGTTTGGGTGATAACTGGCCGCGTATGAGTATTTTCTTATTGGGCCCGTTTGGATGTTTTCAGAAGAAAATAAAAAAAGAAAGGGCAAACACACATTTTCAACCAATTTCAAGACATTTCAGCATATTTTTCACTTTTCTTTTTTTTTTTTTTTCGCAATGAAATCTCTGCCATGTCACGTTTAAAGAAAACTCAGCCGCAAAAGCAATAGTGTTTTCAGCAATTAAATATTGACTTTTAATCATCTATTTCCATTTCATGTGTTTATTTGAACATAAAAAAAATGGAAATCAGTTGCAAAATTCTTTGAAGTGACATTTTGTTCACTCAAATCCGCAAGTGCACGGATGTCGTTGTAGCAATACAAGGTCGTATCCTCAGGGACTTCGTTGTCAATTACTGATTTTCACTGTTTTGTGACTATCTAAACCAATCGTGCTAAAAGTATGATTCTTAACTATCAATAACGAACGCGCTAACTAGTATCAAAGCAAATTCACTCAACTAAAAGAATCTAGGATTGAACTTCGGTTTCAACTCTAGTTTGAATCAACAAATTAATCAATTGTTATTGAATCTCTCAATGCATTAAGAACGACAAACCTATGATAACTATTAGTCTCTTTCGACGACTAAAAGTCATGCCTAATTCAGCGAATCCGTAGGTGAAACATAGTCAAAATATAGAGAATATTCATGTTTATCAACTCCCCCATGCTTGAACTATTGCTTGTCCTTAAGCAAAACAAATAGAAACACACACACGTGAGGGCACAGGTTCAAAGAAATGACAACGGAAATAGAAAATAAGCACAAGGGTATCCACTATTCTCAAGTTCACGTGCAACATTATTCCACTCAGCCCAATGTCAAAATAGAAATCTTGTCTCAAGTTCAAAGTTGAAGAAAATACATCAGTAGGAGTTCTCGTACGTTAGTGCAAGCAACTCAACTCGTAAACGTTGGAAAAATAGTATGGCACAGTTATATATATATATTTAGTTGATTGCCCAAAATTCCTCGTGACAAACACATATCTCATCACAATGGGTCATACCCTTCCTACTTATGGTCTCAAAGGAGCACTCAGTTTCCTTGCATTTTTTTTTATGAAGATCTCGTCATAATTAACACCTATTGATGTGACAGCCATACTTCTGAGGGTGCGATGCTAGGTATTCGATGCAACAGACTTTAGGACCTTTGTTTTTACAAGGTCGAGTGTTTCTCCGGTAACCAAAAAGTAGTCCAAGTCACCAAAGGAGCCTAGATACTAATTAGATGGATTAAGCTAAAAGCATGCTTATTTATTCCAATGTCTAGAGTCAAATATCAGGAAAGTTGAACTCGAACAGATGACATCCTAATCAACTGGGCATGAAACAGAGATTTTTTTTAACAATGGGGCATGTGAAATAAATGATGTACGTGTCAAAAGGGTTTGCAAATAGTGGTACTCTTTTTTTTAACAATGGGGCATGTGAAATAAATGATGTACGTGTCAAAAGGGTTTGCAAATAGTGGTACTCTTTTTTCTTTTTCTTCTCTCTCTCTAATAAATGATGTACGTGTCAAAAGGGTTTGCAAATAGTGGTACTCTTTTTTCTTTTTCTTCTCTCTCTCTTTATTATTTTTTTTAAAGAAGGAAAAATGGAAAAGACAACATGGAAAACAAGCATTCAAAAACACGTAGAAAAACACACCAAAGCATATATAAAGACATGAAACATCATCCCATTCCCCCATGATTGAATTGCACATTGTCCCCAATGTGTTGGAATAATCAGAAATGGGGAAGAGAAATGGGACTCACTACTCATTGAGGTGGCGGTGGAGGTCGGGAATTGTTGAGTTTTCAGGTGTCTAGCATATCAGGGGTGTGGCAGACTCTAGAAGCGAAGTGAAGACTGTCGCTCGACGGCTACACGGCTGTGTCTGTGGACACAGTCTGGCCGTGTAAACTGATTATTCAACATTTTTATGTAGTCTTCTCAACTTCAATTCAGCATATCAGTTCTGGTTGTTCTTTATCCTTGAACTTTTTGCTACCCATCTCGTTATCCGTCTGCGCATCAATTCACGTCAACCTAATTAGAAAACTAATTAAAATCAAATACTAGTAAGAAAAATAGAGTGAAAGAAAAGCTTGGGTTGCCTCCCAAGAAGCACTCGTTTATTGTGATGAGCTTTGTTGGCCTTCTTGTTTTGATGATGTTTAACAAACAATTTATCACTAATGTTGTTTGTCTAGTATTTGTGTTTTCCTATGTATTGTAGACAAACAACGTAGTTGGAGGATGGATGGAATAGAGCTTCAACGATCATATCCAAAGGAGGTTGGCGGAATGTCGGTGAAGCTTATGTAATTCAAGTTAAAGATCGAGTTCAAGCTTCATCCGCAAATATATCAAGTCAAGCCTATTGAAGATCAAGATCAAGCTTTGGTATATTTAGTTTATGTTTTATATTATGTGTGTTAGATACTCTAAGCTCAATATCATATACACACACGTATTTGGTTTCTAAGCTCAAATATTGTATTCTCAGTTTATAGACTTAACAATTATCATATACATTTTTTATCAAGTCTATATAATCATTGTGCAAAGTTTCAAAACATTGTTTATGTCAAAACATCAAACTTCATGTATATCACTTTTTTCATGTTTTGAACACTTTTGCAAAATAATGAGATTTCACAATTGGGAAATGCAAATTGGAAAATTCTTTTTGTAACATGTTCAAAATATCATTTGCAAACATTTCTCAAAGTTTCATCAAGTTTGGAATTGTTTTGTTATGTTTAAAGGAATTTACAAATTCACGTTTTTGTTCGTACACATGTTCGTGCATGTTCTACAAAACTGATGAGTTTTCGCAAATGGGAAGTGATATTTGAAAATTTCTTTCTTTGAAATATTTATCTACATGTTTATAAACTTTTCTCCAGTTTTTACTATTTTTGGACTTGATTTACTATGCCAATTGATTTTACAAAATCGTATATGTTAACAGTTTTTCAGAAACTGTAAATTTGTGTTCAAATATTTATTTCTCTCAACTGGAAAAATATTTTTCAGAAATTCTTTCTCTGACATATTATTCTACATGTCTAGAACATTCCCACAAAATTTCATAATTTTTGTAGTTCATATACTATTTTAAATTGATTTTACAAAACAGCTGCGCACTGCTACAGTAACTCCGGCCGACCGGAAATGTCTCTGCACGTTACTCAGCTTTGCATATGGCTCTCGGTCGACCGTACCGGTCGACTGAAGTTACTGTAGCAGCCGACCGTTGCTACAGTAATGGCTAGTTCTGTTTTTTGTTTATTTTAATGTTTTGGAGGTGTTTTTCTTGGTTTTTGGACTTGTTTCATGAGCCTATATATACCCCATGCCCTCATACTTCTAAGACAACTTAAGAAATATTTTAAACAAGTTTAAAGAGTTTTAAACAAGGGTTTAAGTTTGTTTAATGTTTGTTTAGAAGCTTTTAAGCAATTGGGTGTTTGAGTTTGAGAATTCAATTCCACAAGAGCTTGAGGAGATCATCTATTAGAGTTTGAGCAATCAACTATTCTCCCTCCATCTCTTGTCATCTATTGAGAAGTTTTCTAAACTCAATCTAGCTTTATATTTCATATTGTTTGATTATCATTTTATTAAGCTAGTATTCATATTGAGTTTAGTTGATTTTATTTTCTCTATGTTTATACACACAACCATTTGAGCTTATTGTATTTACATTCATAGTATAATTGGGTTGTGGGATTGTGTAACTTAGAGAGTGAGCTTATAATTCGTTCTCATTCATTGTAGAGAATAAACACTTTGTATTGAGCCTAATTGTGAGGATTCACTTGTAATACACTTGTACACCGAGAGAAGTGTGTGGTGAGAGACGGGGTCGAATCCAAGAGGAGTGGCGTTGGTTGACGTGCCTAGGGAGAGGTTGTAACCGAGCACTTGAGGAGGAGGACACGGGCTAGGACCAACACTTAGTGTGTGAGGTGTGATTGCATAGTGATTGTATTGTGAGGTGTAAACGTTGTTCGGGTGAACGTAGAAAACCCGGTTGTGATAGTGGAGATCTCCTCGAGGTGAGGAGCGGAGACGTAGGTCGTGGGGACCGAACTCCGTAATCATATTGTTTGTTTGTGATTGCATTGGCGCACTTAATTTTATGTTCTTATCTTATATCGCCTTTGTATATTGCTTGTTGATTATATTGCCCACTATCTAGTTTAGATTGTTTACCCTTGAGTTTATATATCCTTGCACATACATTGCCTATATCTCTTTGTTAGGATATATCTTGTTGTTCATATTACTTATCCTAGCTCATATACATTGTTGTATTTCATACTTGCTAGGATAACTTATTAATTAAGTTTTAATTGGCATAAAATCGGATTAGATTAGCATAAGACCCTAATCACCCCCCCTCTAGGGTCTAACAATTGGTATCAGAGCTTGGTGCTCTTTGATTTAAGGTCTAACCACCTTGAGTTAAAGATCCAAGTTATCTTATTTGTGCTAATCTAGTTATGATTACATTAGTCTTGCTTGCATATTTTCACATATATATCATGAATATGAATATATTTCGTTTAGGCTATGAATCAAATATTGCTCCTAAATTCATCAATTTTTCCTATGCACAATGGGCTTCTAGATTTAAACTATTTGTTGAATCTAGAAATATCGACTTATGGGAAGTTATTGATT